TATTATTTTTTTTTGGTGGAAAGACATAAAAATACTTTTACCTCAGTGTTGCTTGAAGTCTTGGTTTTGATTCAAACATCTCAAAATATTCAGAATAATTGCAACATTGTGTGCCGCCAGCATTTGCAGTACGAAACTCTTTGTGTTTTTCTCACATTTTATGTGAAAAAAGAACATTTTGCACCTCAGAAGATGGTTGTGGTTTTGGATCATAATGTGCTAAGGGTTTTGATCTGTACTGATTCCTACCCCTGTGTCTCATTTTTCTCATGGCTTAGAACAAAGTATTAATGTGACTCATCTGTCATAAGTAATTCTCATATCCTCTACTCTATATTTTGGTGCGTGTCTAGAGGAAAGTTGTGGTTATGTAAAAGTATTTGTGTATTTTGTATAAGGGAGGATGGGAATCACAGGTACTTTAAACAAAAAAATAAGGGCAATGGCAGGAGAAAATTGTGAATTATAAATAAAAGCAACTTTTATGTATTGTAATTAAACATAATAGACACTTTAAAACACACTATTTCTGTTTACTACTTCCTAGCTTTAAAAATCACAGCTGTCAGTCCCTGGAACACTGGAAAAGGAAATAATAAATGGCAAAAAAATATATATGTTTAGAGTTTGTGGACTGGCTTGTCCAAAGCGAGTCCCAGATTTGATACTGAAACATTTACAAGGACACTAATTATGCCTGGAAAGCTAGCATTTGAAATTGCAAATGTCAGTTCCAGGACGTCAACGTTTTCTGGTACTGTTTAGGAAATCCTATGTAGCGTGCTGCTTTCGAAAGACATAATTATCTGTGCACATTCCTGCAACTTTGCTCCAGACCCAGACTTCTACTCCACAGTAGTTCTCTCACAAAAATTTAAAAAATTCAGTAGAAAATAGCCCAAACAATGAATACAGCAGCAATTCTGCTACAGGAGCATTTGCAGCAATTGACCAGATTCCTCTTTTCTCCCCGAGAGCAGACTGAAATACTTTACTAAGTAGATCCAGTTCAATGCAAACCTCATTCCACAAAAGTCATTTGCATTTGGGCTGAATATTGAATCAGAGGGACTCAAGTATATGCTTAAAATAGAATTGATATTTATGTGATTACTTAACTGAACTAGGGGTCATGCTGTTTCTCTGCTAAAACAGAGAATCCAGCTATTTTCTGCCTTTCTGCTGATGCCTTTCTGTATGTGAATAGAAATCACAAAATACTGTTTTCCAGACCTGGCAAATACCTGCAGCCAGCAGAATGGGAGAGAGAGGAGAATGCAATGCCACCTCCTATATTTGAAGATTTTGCACACAGAAAATAAATTCTCCCCTCTCCTTTCAGCTATAGATTTGCACTAAACTGTTCCTAACAGCAGAGCAACGAAATGAGACTGTACCCATCAGGAAATCTACTGCTTAAGTTTCTTCTTAGGAATGATTTCTCTCATTCTCTCTTTCATACTCCCTCTCTCCCTTACTTCTCCAGGAAGCTTTATTGTCTCCAAAGCTAAAAAGACTGCCTTGTGTTGCTGCATGTTCATGTAGCCCTAACCTATGTATCAGGATCTTCATGTGACTGAATGACACAGGGGAGACAGGAAATGTATCAGTAGGAAACCTTCCATGAGATTTATTTTGGGGGTCAAAAAAAAACCATTGCACCGTAACAGGTTTTCAGGGCTGAAAGAAGTTAAGTGGAAGAATGCACACACAGTCGCTTGTCTCGGGACACAAAGAGCAGGAAAATAATAATACTGGAAGGGCACATAGAGAACATCACAGTTTCTCTCCGAAAAATCATCAGGAGCCAGAATCTGGCCTTTTGTTGGCTACACTGTGCAGCAAAACCCGTCAGCAATGGCCAAGGGGGTCCCTGGAGCAGGCAAGGAAGGCAGGGGCAGCAGTGGTGGTGTGAGAAGGAAAGGTAGGGACTGTCTGGGATGTTACAGGGGCTTTTTGAGGACCAAGAGGACACTGTGTGGACTCTTTTCTTTCCTTCCCCACCTGAAGGCAGCCCAGATCCCCTCCCCTCACTTCTGCTCTCTCCACCATCAGCACCTACACATTTTTCTGTACCTTCTTGATTGCCAACAAGGGGTCAGTCTTGGTTTGAAGGAACAAGAATTAGGATGGGAGCAGGGCAGAAAGCCAGAGAAATCCCGCTGCCACTGGAGGTAGAAAGGGCAGAAGTGACTGCTGCTGTACTGGGGCCCGCTGGTACAAGCTGGCACCCCTTCACCCGCCCTCTAATCCCACAAAGGCAGTAACAGCGACATGGATGGTACAAGCAGCAAGCAGGAATGAGCTGTGCGGCTGAAACGCCTAATCCCTCTCTCCTCAGGCACAGGCAAAGTAGCTTGCCATCCCCTCCAATCTGGCAGCTCCCCGTTTTGCTAAGTATTCAAAGCTACTTCTGAATCCATGACTTTCCTTCGTCTGTGCAAGAAGCTGAGCCAAAGCCCCAGACCTAAGCACCTGCAAGCTGTGGAGAAGTTTGTCTCCAGAGCTGAACTTTGGAGCCCAGAGCCGTATCTGAAGGTGATGAATGAATGTAGATGTGGTCTGAATTATTGACTCCCAGCTTAAAGGAGAAGGCCTGGTTGGCAGGATAAACAATTAAAAGCTACACTTCATAAAACTATGCTGCAAACGGCGATGGAATTGGCAATTTCTGCTCTGCAGGCTGTAGAGTCCCCTCAGGAAAGATGCCAGATGCACTTTCTTTTATCCAGCTCAATGAATTGAATGAAACCGATTGCAAATAATCCACAGTTCTTGGGAATTATCTCCTATACCTTGATAATGGGGTGTGAAATTGTTTTTCTCTTTGACTATTGAAATCACTCACAGAATCACGGAGTGGTTGAGGTTGGAAGGGACCTCTGGAAATTGTCTAGTCCAATCCCCTCTAGTGCAGACTCTCTGGACAGCCTGTTCCAGTGCTCTGTCACACTCACAGTGAAATCTTTTCTTGTGTTCAGCCAGAACTTCCCATGTTTCAGCCTGTGCCCCTTGCCTCTTGTCCTTTTGCTGGGTACCACTGAAAAAAGCTTCACCTTCTTCCTTTTTGTTTTCCTTCTTTCAAGTTTTTCCTGTGAAGTCCTTGAGTGTCTGGAAGGACAGATGCCTGCTGAGCTTTTGCTCTCACTTATTTTTACTTCCATGCTCCCTCCATACATATTTTTTGAAAGTAGAACAAAACCATTTAAATGCAAGAAAATCTTGAAGGACTGTTATATAATTCCTTCCCCTTTTTCCAGCAACCATCTCAAGCAGAAGACTTTGCTTTTTATGTAAGAACACTGTCAGGTATCTCTCTTAAATCTCAAGGTCAGGGCACTGGGACATCCATCGTGGTGGCTCCCCGAGCAGCAGCACAGCAGGAGAAAATCACCCCAGATTATCTACCAACACAAGGGCAACCACAAGCCAGTACTAGGTCTGGCATTGTCAGAGAGTTGGTCACCAGCTGGCTGGTCACCAAAACAGAGATTCTTCAAAATAATTTGATAGTAGAGGCCAGAAAGCTTTGTCACCACTAATGTCACCCTAACCTACAGCAGAGGGCCTGGAGAGCAGCCAGGTACTTCTCATGGGGGCCCTGGACTTCATGAGGAAGGATGGAAAAAGGTGCCCAACTGGGGCCACCCAAAATGGAGGAATGGTTTCCTGAAGCACAAGGACTAGTTGGCAGCAATGTGTTCTGGAGGGAGCTGGGCTGACATCTCCTTTATGGCAGAAAATGCTCTTCTGTCAACAAGATTCAAGATTTTTTTTATTTTTTTTTTGTGAAAATGTACTGTTTTGATCAAAACTTAGTTATTCTGTCAGATTTGAAAGAGACCTCACAAAAGCTCAGTTGGTGCATTCAGAGGAACAGAGGAGAGCAGGGAGCGGGCACATTTCTAAGGGGCTGGAATAAATCTGAGGTAAAACAGGCAAGCTAACTGCAGGTTTCCCCTGCAAAATCAATATTGCTTTTTGGCTCTCCTCTCTCCCCAGATGCTTTCTCCCTCTAAGGTTATCACAGGTTGGTGGCAGCAGGGCCACGTGGGGCAGAGACCCCTGGGGCATACCAGGCCCCGGAGTAGGCACCATATCTGGGCTGCCTTCATCTGCAGAGAGGTTAGAAGCTGCTGTTCTTGAACTTTCCTCTTGGCCTGGCTGATAAAATGCTTCAAGTGAATGGAGAGAGACCTACCTTGAACATCTTGGTGGCAGCTGAGCCCACCAAATCACAGAGTCCTCCCAGTCATGCCTGTGGGACGTGGATCGGGTGAAATGTGAGTCTTGGTAGCGGCAGCCTGAGAGTGATTAGCCCATAAAACATGCAGATTTTGTAGTTATGTAGGATGCCAGCGCTGCCTGTTGCTCCCCTTGTTGAACCTTCATGAGCACGGCTGTGCTCGGGACTTTGTATGGCGGTTCCAAGCACCTCATATATCAGTCCAAGTTCCTTGGGAACTAATATCTGTATGTTGCCCATTGCAAGGAAGGGTTTGCATGTACTTTTTTGAGGGGGCAACGCACTTGGAGAAAGTTGAGAATAAGTAAATGTTTTTCAGCAGTCATTCAAACTGATAATTTTATACCTAGTAATCTGAAAAAAGCTACACAGCATCTCTCCAGAAGGGTGGGAACAAGACTCAAGGAGCTTTTCTTGAAATCCAAACCCAGATTTTGATTTACAGCCTAATTATTACAGGATTGCCAACAAAAATATCAAACATTAGGATTTTTAGTCCCGTATTCAAATTGCTACATCAGTTTTTGCAAGCTCTGAGTAACTAAAGAGGCTACTCAGAGGGAACGAGCTGCCAGGTTGTCACACTTCTGAACAGCAGACCTTGAATAAGAGGTTTGAACATGGAATGAAAAGACTATGCTACGCCACTATGTTTGAAAATCTTGGGCAAATTTCCTTAACATTTCTGAAAGAAAAAAAAAAAAAAAAGGCTACTGTGCTCATGAATTTCTTATAAGCTTTCTTTTCCCTCTAGGGACCAACTTAAAATCAACAAAATAACACCGGGCCTTACACAGACAGGAAGTCTAGGTCTCTTACAGTGAAAAAGCAAACAACCTGTCCTTCTTCTGCCCTGTCCTGATATCTAAATGTAAGTATATCCAGCTTTGAAATCCTGAATGAGTTATGCATAATGCCAGAACAAAAGTGCAAAGGCTTAAAACAGAAGTTGTCTTAAAGCAAGCACCAAAAAGGATTTGATAAGTTATTCAAGTGTTTGCTACGCACCAAAGCTTTTGATTTTTGAGTAGAAAAATATATGGTACACATACTTTGGTGATTATCCTCAGCAGCATTTTCTTTCCTAGATTAAAAGAAAATCTACTCTTTCGGACACTCTTCATAGTTTAATGGGAAATGACATGTAACTTGTTTTGTTGTTTTGGTTTGGTTTGTTTTTTTTCCTTAAAAAAAAAAAAAAAAAAAACTTTTTAAAATCTATTTTCACAGTCAGGAAAGATTAAGGATGGGTTTCATTAAAAAGGATGACAGAAAACATTTTACCCTGGGAATATAGTGAGCTATGCCGTTGATGTACTTTCGATATCCGAAATACATATGTACACGTGTCTGAATCCATGTGTATGCATATGTGAAGGCAAACAGCAGTAACATTCATTTGGAAATCCATGTTTAATGCAATGTTTAGTTTAGCTCAATAACGGGAAGAATATGTTAAACATCATTTGGAGCCCTAATGGAAAAGTTTCTGACAACTAGACATTAGCTCATAGTGTCCACAGTCATCTTATGCTTATGACTATTGTTTGTTATCAAGTGTGACTTTTGGAAGAAAAAATGCATTATTGCTTAACAAGCTACGTTGCAGTAGTGTCCTGCGCTCTGTTTTGGTTTCTAGATGGCTAATTAAAAGAATCCAAATGTTACGAATTAATCATGTAAATTCCTCAGACTTTCTCAACAGCTCTCTGGGAAGACGAGCGCCACGTTCGATCGTGCGCCTCTCCTGCAGAGAAATCCTGCAGAATTTGTCTGAAAGGGAAGCAGCAGAGTCAATACAAGCACGGCTCCACCAGTACACTGCTCCAGACACCGGCCCTGGCAGACACCCTGCCTGGAGAACCCACCGGGCTTCTCTGGGCACCGGGGCGGACTCGCCCATGGCTCGATGCCCGGCAGCTGCCAGCTGTCAGAGCTGGCCTTGAGACCCACTCCCCTGGAGCCCGTCCCTAGACAGGGTGCTATCCCGGGGTAACATAAAAATAAAGGAAAAAAGGGGGGAAAAAAGTAAAAAGAAGAAACCGTAGAGCCCAAGGCCCCAGCCCACAAAACGTTAATAGAGTATAAAATGCATTCCTGCTGGTATTTAAGTTCTCCCAGAGCATCTATAAGAAAGTTTTAGAGCCCAATCCACCTAGCAATAAAACATACATCCAAGAACGGCGGTGGATTTTGGTAACTTCGCTGTGAAGGTTACATAGCAGCTGATTAACACACTCTATGAGAGCACTGCTATTTTTATTAGTAATTTCTTCAAACCTTCTGAGAGAGATTTTCCAGTGTTATACAATAATGTAGATCACTTCAAATAACCTCAGAGTCCTTCACCTACAGCAGGTGAAATAGGAATACAGACCATTAAGCATATGCTCCAGACAGTAAAAAGCAACAGTTAAGTGCAAACTAGCACTTGCTACATTTCATGCATGGCAAAATTGCATTGAGAAAAACAAACACTGTACTCAACAATACAGAGATATCGAAGCACAGACAAATAAGAAGGGGAAAAAAAAAAGCCTAAGAAACCGTTGAGAGTTCTGGAAAATGTTATTATTTCCTTTTCTTTCTCTTTTCGTTTTAATCTATTCCAGTGAATAGAGAATAATTTCAGCAAAACATTCAGATCTGGATAGAAATATCCCTCAAATTAAAGGGAAACAAAGCCCAATATCTGCAGCAAGAATACAGAAATTTTTTAGACTTGAGCATCAACTGGCAATTAGACTTGAAAGGCATTTGGGTCCAATAGAAGTCCTGAGCTCCTACCAAAATCAACAGTCTAATTGTCTCAGCTGAAACTGGGGCTTAGTTTTTGGGTTTCCTGTAACTAAATCTTGCCACAAACAGCTCTGCTAAGTTTTTCCTCCAATAAAACAAAATACGGCGAAATTAAGATAAATACAAGAGACAATGAAGATGAGTGTGTAGTTCACGATGTAAGGAAGGGAGCAGATGTTAGAGAAAACTCATGAAGATATCAAAATAGCGTCCGTCAGTTCTAAATGGATGATATGACAGCTCTTTAAAAATAAACAATCAAACATCTGAAAGTAATTGCTAGACTAAGGGATTTAAGTTTATTTTATTTAAGCAATATGGTATTTTAAAAATGTACTCAGATTGTCTAGCTTGCTTCAGATTGCTTTGGTTTTCTACATGGTGTCATGGCAGTCACTACCCACCCAAATGTGGTATTCGAATAATATTTTTAAATTGAAAAAAGACAATTGAAATGAAGAAAGCAAAACTATTCAGGAAGGTTACCAGAATGAGTAGTTTAGTTTAACTTCAGACACTTCATAATCTGATCAGGGAGAAGAATGAAGAAACCTATTATGTTGAATTCATAGGCAATGAGTCAGGTGATCAAGTTATTTATGTGGTCCTAGTGATTTCCCCTCAAAATCAAAGGCAAATCTAGGTTACTGAAAGTAACATTTCAGTTTGTATAGGCTGATATTCTTTTTGTCTATCCTTTATTCCATGGTCTTTTACACTTCTCCGTGTTTAAACCCCATGAACATAGTCTCAGCCCCCAGTTTCCTCCTCATTTTCTTGTGCCCTATGTCCCTCCATTCAATCCCTGTTTATCTACAATATGAATTAGTTTGCCAGTCTTCCTCTTCCCTGTCTGAACTGGGGAGCTGGAAGCCCTAGACGACTTTTAGTGGAATTTAAACCTCATATTATTCATGCGTTTATAGAAATGTTATCTTACATTTCCAGGTCCACTGATTTTTCAAAAGAAATCAGTGGACAAACTCAGTCTCTTAAAAAGCTAGCTTCAGACTCCTCTCAGCACTTCTGATGGGAGGAAATTAAAGAGGAATTACAGACGAAATAATCCTTTCCAAGCATAGCATATTCAATAGCTTAGAAATTTAGTTCTCTTTTCCTATTGGCAAATGAGGTTTCTTTGACTAATCCAAATATTATTGTGCATAAACCCAAGGGTTGCTTTTGTCTGTGTTTTGACGAAGAGGGGCTTCTTTAGAGCTTTAGTAGTGATAATTGACACATAATGCTCTGGTACTGAGGAACACTGAGGGACAACAAGATGAACTTGCCTTCACAAATCATACAATTTGGGGCTGCGCTGGGGATACCTCCTGCTTGCTGCCAGCAATGATGAGGACACGTTTACGACCCCAGGCTGTGCAAAGCAGAGTCCTGCAGGACCTGCTGCTTGGTAATTCTCTGCTGCTCAGGCTCCCCAGGCTACCTCGCACATGCACACACACACACAAGCTTGCCTCTGGTCTGCAGGGACAAGCTCACCAGAAGCATTTTGCCCTGTGATGTGCAGGGGCTGCCCCTCTGCAGTGTGAGGAGAAGCAGCTAACTCAAGGTGCTTAGGCTAAAAAAAAAAAGGCAGGTTTTTATCCAGCAAGTCCATGGAAGACTAGCACAACATGCCTGTCTGCTTTGGGAAACAGTTAAGTCTTTTTATGGGCTTTGCATTAAGCATAAATCCTCCTGGCTATGTGCTGAAGGGTACGGTTTGATAACAGAGAGTTCAGTAACAGCAACAGATAGAGCATATAGCTGCAGTCACCACGTTGCAAACGCATTCCACATGTTTTCCCATAGCTTCTCTGTCCAGGGATAAGTAGCACTAAGCAAACGCCTTCTTTCAAAAGCCCCACTGGCATAACTTCTCAGTGCAATTATTCCCTGCAAAGTCACTGAGTTTCTTTAGGAAACATTAGTGCGTTTTCTATGCAGGAGTCTCTCCAGAAATATCACATTTTTGACCAGTTTTCTAGACCTAGGGGGCTCAGACACAGGAACTTTGTCTTGTAATGTTCAGAGAATGTTACCGCAGTGCAGAACAGAACGTGAAATACACTCAAAAGGATTACCCAGCTAGCAGTGATAGCCCATGAACCTATCAGGTTAGTAAGTGAACCTTCAGCTAAAATATCTATTACATATTTCAACCTTCTGTTTAGTTTCAAAGGATTTTGATGCAGTTGTTGGGTTTTGCTTGAGTAACAAGGTTAGCTTTATCCTTTCTCAACTGCAATAGGTATGCAAACAGTGTCCAATATTAGAGTTCATAGCAGTCTTCCACAGGATCCTTTTCTACTTCATCTATCTGAAATTCCCCCGTTCTTATACTCTGCAGCAGCCTAGTTCATGATTTACCAGGGGTGGAGGAATACCAGAGCACAAAGCTGAAATCAGAGACCTTTTACTTGAGAAGCTGACACAATCCTTTACTGAACGCATTTTTGGACCGTTTGCTCTACAGTAGCCTGAGTATTCCTGGCGTAAAGGGGAGACAGCGTAAATGGGGCCAGCTAGGCAGCACCGTGGCATCAGCACACACGCAGGAATGTGAGCCGCACCAGCTGATGGCTGCAGAATACTTGCTTTGTGTGCAGACAGCGTGTTTCATGCTGCTTTGCTCGCCTTGCAGGTATTTCTGAGCAATGCACAGCACGGAGATTTAGTATTTTGAACCTGCAAAGGGGGCTGGAATGTGCTCAGGCTCCCCCTCCTGCCTGGTCCTTGGGAAGCTGTCCCCCGGTACACGATAAACTGGGAAGATGAAGAAAAAGCAGCAGCATGGAGCCTGTGCTGGCAGTGTACATAGAAATTTGAGTTTAGCGGACAAAGTTCACAGTTTGCAGTGAAAGGTCATAAGGATTTCAGGCATTTTTGGTATTTTGTCTCTGCTGTCTGCACAGTATCAAGCAAATAATAAGAAAGAAAGAAAAAAAAAAGATAGACGGCTTCCAATTCTGTATACTTGGCATCTCTGCTTGGCCTGAAAGAAGTCGGAAAGCTCTGTCTTTGGCATCTACAATTATTTTTGAGGACACGCCATCCTAACAAAGCTTTAAC